AATTATAACTAAAATATTAACAATATAAATAAAATAAGTGAATTTTCTAATTAGCCATCAAAATCCTTCATTCAAGTAATTCTTAATTAAAAAAAAAAAAACCATAATATTTCATAATTAATGCCCACGATCACTTCTTTCCCTCCACCCACTAGATTGCCTTCCTTAAGTATTTGCTTTAATCCGATATATTTGTAGGCTAAAAATATCCCTATAATCAAATGAGAACCTTGATTTTCACTCATTACAATCCAAACATTGCTGTCTCCTTGTCAAAACAATTTGCGCCACTATCAGTTGGCACTTCATCATCTTCGTCTTTAAGTGATGCTTAGTGACTTTTGATGGTCAGTTTATCCCATCATCATAAAAAAACACTATCCTTTCCTTAAAGTACACTATTGTTGTCGCGCCTTAGCCACTATTGTTAAACAATTGTATTTCAAAGATCCCCTTTTTGACTTAGCATTGAAGGAAATAATTGGGGGAAGCACCACCCTTTGTCACAAGATCATCTATAATCATGTCAAGTCTCTCATGAATCACGCATATTTAAAATATAAAGGAAGACTATAAACTTTCATAAACTCTAGTTAAGAGTAAATTAAAAAAAAAAAAAAGGATAGAATTTTTTATACTAACAACCACTAGCTATGTAGAGAAAAGGATTGTCTAACGAACACAAGGATTGATTTGAAATGAAAAGTAAATTAAAAAATAATAATAAGAAATAAAGGAAACAAATGGAAAATAGAAAGAAAAGACTGAGAAAAGCCAAAACCATGGCAAAAGGAGAGGCTACATCTTTGCTAGGGGTTTTCGTCTTTTTCTTGGAACTGAAGTTTTTTAATGCATGATGGATTTTAAAACTGGTACATTGAAGTACTGCATTCAAAAGAAAATAAATAAATAAATGTTCAATTGCTTTCCAATTAAATCATTAATCCAACAAAGAGATATGACTTAGTTGATAAATAATTTATTTTTCACTTTATTAATTAAGATTTTACTTTTTAAAAATATTAATAAAAAAGATAATTTCTCATAAATTCTTTAATTTTAATATAATTAAATTAAATAGAAATTAGTTTTGAAGTATTCACAAATTAAATGAAAACAAATTAATTGCCTAAGAAAAAAAGAAAAAAAGAAAAAGAAAAGAGCAAGCCTCTCCCTAATCCCTATTCCTCCTCTCTCTTCTTCTTCCTCTTCCAATTGCTATTCCCAACGCCTAATTCAGTTATTCAACCTATTTTTCCCTCATTACCAGTTTTAAAATCTTTGCTTCAAGATGTGAACTAGTTGGCGAATCAGCTGCGCTCATCTTTGTGTTCCTGATCAAGAAATGAACCCACTTTTATGCAAATATGACCTGCTGCTAACTAGTTTTTATTTTCTACGGTTATCAATGATTTACAACACCAAGCAGCCAAAAAAAAAGAAGAGAGAGAGAAAGATTTACAACACCAAAATATAATTAACATATATGTATAGATTCAGAATTACATGATATTCAAACTCAAAAAGCTAATTCATACCAAAATCAACTGAAACTAAAGAAAAAATCAAGAACAAATTGATCAATTTTTGGTAGAACTTAACGACAAAATTTTAAATTTGCTGTCTAACCAATTAGTTAAGGTGTCGAGTCTTAGTTGTATTTCAATATGTCATTGAAGCTAATTCATACCACTTATGTTGCATTAATTCCCCTCGAGTTGTTAACATTAATACCTCAACTCGACTGAAATTGCCTCTTATATTTGAGATGCATATAATTTACATGTTATATCATAGTTAAGTATCATAAAAAAAAATTCACCTCATAGTTTGTATGATTTCTACCTAATTTTTGGTGATTTCTTTATCCTCTTCAGTTATTGAAAAATTGTACAAATAAAGAACAAGAAAAGACGTACCAACTAACGAAGTTGCATTGGGAGGATTAAGTTTATTATGGTCGGGCCTTATTGAGCTGACTCGGCTCAATTATTAAGTTTACTGGGCCTGTCACCTGCACCAAAAAAAAAAAAAAAAAAAAAAAAAAAAAAAGAAAAACAAGAAACAAATTGATTGATGAAGTGTGGGGAAGGGATGGCCGGTGGAATTGGGAGAGCCTTATCGGTTGTCCATGTCTTTGCCACTTGCCTGGGAGTGTAGATAACATAAAAAATCAACTTGATGAACAATATGACTTTCATTTTAGAAATTCACAAAGCTACGCTAGCTTTGTTGAACGAAAATAATATAATTATAATATATTTGATGCATTATATTATTAAATTAATTAATACACATAATATTATAAATAAATTTTTAAATAAAAAATAATTATATAATAACTAACACGTATGATTGTAAACTTATAATATCACATTATATTAAACTTATATCAATTTTGATTGTACAAATTGCATTCATTTTTGCACTTATTTACACTTCACATTGCCTTTTTCCTGAATTTATATTTTCAAACTTGACGATCAGCAACATCAACAAAATCAAACACTCCGCACGCACCCTCTTAAAAATAAAAAAAAAACCATATTGTAAAATTGATGTATAAAAGTATGTATAATAAAAATTTTCTCTTATTGTTATTTCTTAAAAAAGAATAGAGACAAGACACTATATCTAGGTAAATACTTACTTTTAGTCCTTACCTTAATAAATTTGTAGGTTTTAGCATATCATCTTATATTATAACACTTTTAACCCTTCACCTATACGAATTGAAGAAAATAACCCTTATTTAATGTCTTGTTAGCTGACTGTTAGCTCTACTAGCATTTCATTATAGAAAACATGAAATTTAAATTCAATTTTATATGTTAGTTTTATTAACGAAATGCTAACAGTCAGTTAATAGAATTAATAGTCAACTAATAGAATTAACAATCAGTTAATAGAGCTAACAATTAGCTAACATAACTAACAAAACGTTATAACCCAACATTAAGTAAAGGCTATTTTTATCAATTCATATGGGTGAGGGACTAAAGTGTCATAATATAAGGTGAGGGACTAAAACCTACAAACTTATTAAGCTAAAATGCTAAAAAGTAAGTTTTTGCCCTATATCCATTGAGAAGAACTTTTGGAACAGAGCTTGTCCCTTTCCACCCGGTTAGTTTTTTTGTCGCAAAAGGGGTCCAAATAAATAAAGTTTATTTAGAATTGAAATTGATATGTAATTTTTATATAAAATAATATTAATTATAATGATATGACATTAAAGTGAGTTTTTTTTTTTTATTGTAAGCATTATACATCCTATAATAGTATATAATTTTCTTTTTCTTTATTTTTTGAAATAAGAGGATAACGTTAATACTTAAAATAGATACAATTAGTGTGTTCCACACTCCATGCATGTTTGGTGCAATTTCTTGGAAGGGCTTTTCCAATCTAAAAGTTGAAGCTATACCAAACACTCAAAACTCCAAGACTTGCTTCAGCTGTTGACAAGCTGATCTTTGTTTTTGGCTTTTGAAAATTGGAGAAGCATGGATTTGGTGCTTTTGCAGGAGCTTTTCCACCCATTTAATGAAATTTGCTTACTATGCCCATTTTATTCTCATATTTAACAAATTTACAAAAAGGCTACTATATATATATGATCAGTTACAACCCCAGCGCCAAATCCCTAATTTTCGTCTTTACTCCTGCAACCTAAAGCCATTAAAACCCTCCGCCACGAAACCCTTTGCTCGATCTGCAACCTAAAGCCACCAAAAGAATCCTTTTCTTCATCTTGATCTTGCTCCATTCATCAAAAACTCACTTATCCCGTTCCTCGTTCCAAATTGATTTGGTTCTTTTGTGGGAGCTTTTCCATCCATTTAACGAAATTTGCTTGCTATGCCCATTTTATTCCCATATTTAACAAATTTACAAAAAGGCCACTGCATATATATGATCAATTATAACCCCAACCCCAAATCCCTAATTTTCATCTCTACTCCTGAAACCTAAAGCCATCGAAACCCTTTGCCAAGAAACCCTTTGCTTGACCTGCAACCTAAAGCCACCAAAAGAATCCTTTTCTTCGTCTTGATCTTGCTACATTCATCAAAAACTCACTTATCCCGTTCCTCGTTCCAAATTGAGTTGTGTAGCCAACATCTTTAACTTAGTAGTCTTCAAACTACTCTAGAGCATTTCCTCATTAGGAATGCCTTTGCTCCTTTGGCTATAGCTTTGGATCTTGCCCAATTCAACAAGTTTACTTACAAGTCTCCTTGTTTTAGATTGATGTAGTCCTCACCTTCAACGTAAACTCCCCTTTCTCAAACTTCATTTGCTAAATTTGAGGGGATTTATTGCTTTACTTCCAATGATTTAAATGGTTGCCTTTTTTTCATTTTTTTTCCTTTTTTTATTGATTTCTAGAAAACAAGGGTTTTGCTTCATTGTCACTGATTTGTTCAATTTTGACTTGGTCGATTTGATCCAGAATAAGCAAGATAAAAAAAAAAAAAAAAAAA